GAAATATATAGCTTTACATCTTGTCTTTACAGCTTTGGAGTTGACGTGTTTAATAACATAGATTTGGTTTTGTACCTATAGTTGAATACTGAATGCCTGAGGTTAAGATGGTCCCAATTTGCAGTGTTAGTTTAGACTCCTCAAAATCCCCTACCCGTGGAGAACTGCCAAAGAAGAATTTTACTCTGCTGTTGTCAAGCCTTACATAAGCACATCTGGCAATGGTATCACTGTGTCCAGCTGGGAAAAGACATCATAACATTGGACTCCCTGCTTTCATATTGGCCAGAAATTCCTCTGCTGTCTTCTCAGCTGTGACCAGATCATGTTGCCTTTGCTCCCCAAAGGAAGAGCACTGGCATGATAGCTGAGGTAAATTTCAAACATTAAAAGGACCTTGGACCAACACATAAGTAAGAAAGGTAACAAAACCACAAAAAAAAAAAGCGTGCGCATGAAAACTTCTTGCGGCATGTGCAACCCTTCTGATCACAGATAACAGCAAACAAGCAAAAGGTATCTGAATAAAAGACAGTCTGCCTTATGCCTTGCTTTTTGACTTGCTAAGTGTTCCCTGGACATTAATTGCTCTCAGTGCCAATGTGCACACACTAAAGCAAATCAATAAGGCTTAAAAATGTAAGAAAAAAAGGACATAAAGAAAAAGAAGGGAAGAAATAAAATCTAAAATACTACTAAACCTGCTATTTGGCCCCAACTTACTGAATTTTGAACAAATCCATATGACTCATTGGGGAATTTATTTATTTACGTTCAACTCCAGATATTTGTATCACTTTTTCTATGATCTGTATCACAGGCATGCAGTCCACTCTACCACCAGTTCATCACCATTGGCCACTAAAACTCAAATCCTGAATGCAAGCATACTACACAGTTTAGTGAATAAATTAATTACTTTTTAGTTGTGGAATAGCTAGTGTGTAGCTCTATATTTTGTAACTGGATTTCTGACCTAAACTTCTGCTTTGTTGAAAAAGACATGAAGAATACTATTTGACATGTATGCTACTTTTCAAAAATCAGTGTGAGTTCAAAGTATATTCAAGAGACACAGGGTTCATGAAGGTAACTGCACGTGTGTAACTTGATTCTAACTGGAAATTTGCTGCCAACAAAATCAAATTCAAGGGAGAGAAATACCACATAGATAACCATAAATCAATAAACAACCAAAGCATGCAACATTTCTTCTGTCACTATGCAAGCTAATCTTGAGTCAACATTTACTCTCAGCTTTTAGGAAGAGCCTACACTCACTGGAATTTTGACTGAAACTCCCTTAACTTTAAAAGTTGATAATTCATTCCGTCTTTAGGTCACCAGAGAAGTGTCCAACTTAAACAATGAAACACATGTTTAATAGCGTGGGGGGCTGGAAGAAACAGGAAAACATTTCATTTTTCTTTGAATCATCTACACACTTAACAAAAAGGGGAAACTTTTTTGAAAAAGTACTGAACTATTTGGATGGTGTTCTTTAAAATGATACACTACCATGGGCAAATTGAATAGCATTGGCATTCAAGACTTCTCAAGCTGTTTCTTCAAAATAGCTATATTTGTTGCAGGTGGGGCTGCACATATGCATTGTGCTCAACAGCTATTTAAAAAACTACAAGAGGAAACATTTTCTTCAGACATTAAGGGTAAAACCCCCCATAGAATAATGTTACTCTGTTCTAAGCCAATATTTGCTTTTGGAATAATGGCATTTTATTTATGGCTTTTGCGTATTGCTTATTTAAACCAACTAGTGCACTCAGGATATCATTTAATGGTGTTCAGAATTTTCAAAAGGGATTGCATACAGGAGTACCACTTAAACAGCGTGGTCAAAGTGTGGGTGTATTTATCCTTATCTGAGTGAGTTTACTACATGGCAAATGGCAAACATGAGAGGCATCACAAGTGGGCTTTAAGATGTGCTATATGAAATCCAGAGTGAGGTGGTAAGTGAATACTGGGTGATATCTGCAGAGAACACAAGGGAAAAAGAGACTTAAAGCCTCAGATATGGGATTAATTTATTACACTTTTCTTTATTCAGTAACCAATCGCGACTATAAACCAAATTGACTCAAAATTCCTTACACAGCCCTTAACACAAAACTTCCAATGAAATCTGTCTGAAAATAATGTTTTACCTATAAAATCATGACAGCATCCTAGAATCTTAGATGTAAAAAGAATTTTCTCTATTATTTATGCTACAGTTTTGAATGAATGCTATGTTTAATGCCAATATGATGCCTTTATAAACTACCTCCTTTAAAACACTAATGAAGCAGGTCCCCATTATTTATTTTGCCCAGATGTAGATATATATTAGTTACTGATGATAGAAAAACTCATGCAGATTTTAATTTGGCTAGAAGACTTGATGGCAGACTACAGTGTACAAGTAATTTTTTAGACAACTATATGAGGGAGCTGCCTGTCCATCTGCCACATCTTGTTTTAACTGTGCAACTTGCTTTATTAATTGAGACTCATGGAAAACAATATTATTTTCTGAAATATTTATATGCTTGTTCTAATTTCATAACCAAGCCCATGGCAATGCTCTTGACCTCTTTCTCATCAGATCCACGTTTCATTTATTTCCCATAAATAAGCAGTTTGTCTGCTGCGGTATGTGCTGCACCATGTTACCTGTAACAGCTTACTCAAATATTTTTCAATTGCAAAAACACAATAGGAATGCTTTTCTGTTAGTGGCCTATTTATACCGGTTATGCCTCATTATATTTGTTATATTTCAGTTTCAAAATGCAAGCCTGAAAAGATATATTCTACTCTGTATTTGAAACATGGACATCATATATATTAGACAAATAAAAGAAGATTTCTATTCTTTATTTCCTGAATAGGTCAAAATACTTTTTTTCCTTTCAGAAATTAAATTATTAAATTCTTTAAAAGCAATTTTATTTCGAGAATGAGTTATCTTATTCTGTCTTTCTACACTTATGATACTAAAAATGGCTTTAAAGTTTAGAATTTGTGGAAATGTTCTGAAATACATAGTAGTTTCTTTCTCCACCCCCTGTAGTTTTACCACTGCATCAGTGGCTTTGCCATTCACAGGGAAAGGCCACCCCTTCATACCTACAACTTTTTAATAATTCCTGCTAAAATCTTCACAAGTATCACAGCTTTCCTAGTAACCAGAAGGGGATGTCATTTATAACACATTTTATATAAATTTGATTTTGACTGACTTATGTCCTCCTGTCCTTATTCAATTATTTTAAACAGAAATATTATGTTTTTCTTTTTTTGCCTAGAAGCCTATGTTGCTTGCTAAAAGACATTTTAGGCTTTGACTGCATAGATTGATTAATGCCATCTCATGATTAAATTCAGTGGAATGGATTTAACAGAACTGATTAAGATACCAGTGCTGTCATGAGTATGGTATCAGTGAACAAAATAAATTAACATGCCATTACTACACTGAGGACAAAAATAAATAAATAAATGTGTGTTTTAATTTGGTATTCTTCTCTCCTTCTTAAGAAATGGTGTTGCCATTTACTTTGCCTTTCATTCACATCATAACAGATAAGAAACTTGTTTTTAATAGAGTGAAAGAATAGCAATTCAATCTGTGTGTGAAAAAAAAAAGAAAGGGACAAATATTTCTCTTTTGTACAAGGACTTCAGTGGAGGGGTTTTTGTCTATATCAATAGAGAAGTGGCTCGAAATTTTGCATAGACGTGAAAGAATACTATTGATTTTATTATGTGGATGCTATTCCCTGATGGTTAATACAGTTATATTGTTTGAACCTGGAATACTGATAATTCATTTTGATTTCTGTCACTACTATGGCATGTATGCAGTATGTTTATTATAATGTGATTTTAGAGATGAATAATTCTGTTCATGCTCATGTTTCACTTCAATTCACACTGCTGTCACAAAGAATGAATGTATATATCTTTATGGTCCAGGCTTTTACGTAAGTAATAGCCAGATACATCCCTAGTAATGCTTTCAGTGGTTCTGCTTCTACGCTACCGTTTATTAGAAAGTGTCCAGGCTCTCAACAGTAAGGGAGTACTGCAAGTGAGGGTTATGAACAGTCAGTGTTTTCTTCCACTTTTAGCAGGAAAACTGCTCGGTTGAAAAAACCCACAAGTAGATGTAGGTGTTCATACTGTTTTGTAAAATCAAACACCTATGCAAAATGTTCCCTTCTTATATTGTTGTGTACAGTGGAGTTGAGCTGACTGTCAGAATCGCTATGTAGATGTCTGCACCTAAGGCAGCTATCTGTATTTCAGGGAGAAAAATGGTAATTGATTTAATTCAAAAGGAGATGGCTCAAACAAGCCTGTTGGATCAGGATCTCAGAGTCTGTTCTTCTCTCCACTAGTAGAAAGAGCAAAAGGAGACAATATTAGATTTAGATGTTAAAATTAGGCAAAAATAATCTTTCCCACACTCTGAGGAACAGTGTTAAAAGATTTCTGCAAATGAATGTATGGAACAGCTAACACAGCTTTCCAGCTAAGGCTCAGGTTTTCAGCTAAGTCAGCTCTTCTGAAGAATTAATAATGCAGAAGTTTTATTTTTCTACAGGAAAAAAATAGAAAAATATGTATGTCCCAAAATAAAATGCCAGTGCACATAAAAGCTGATGGAAAAATGCTATCTTGAGAAAAATGTATGATAGGAAATAGAGGTGGAGTGGTATCTGAGCTTTTTCTTTTAGATATATCTTTTAGATGTATGCCCTGTGAAAAAACATTAAAAGTAACAGCAATGGTAGTTAAAGTAGCAGCTCAGTGACAAACATGCTTAGAAAAAATCAGCATCACCTGCTAGGAGAGGTCCATTTTTTTAATGTTTATACTTTTAACACAAGAATACTTTCTAGATATAGTTAAGAAGGTTCAATTCTGAACATCCAAATTATCCTAGCCAAATGACAGGACTAGTAAAACAACATATTATTTTTGGCTCTTACCTCTATAAAGAAGAGACTAGCTGCTGATGTTGGATGATGATACATATAAATGGTCACAAGGATGGCTGCAGCCACAATGAGGACCAGGACTAGAATGCCGACAATTAAGCCGGCATGAAGTGTTCCACCTTTCTTCTCTGCAGCACTGTCATCTGTGGAAGCTGCACAAATAGCACACTTATTAGCACAGTAACTTACGTTTTATCTACACCTTTTCACAAATGGCAATCGCGCATTTGCTTTTTCTGTTATGTCACTCATTTTCCACAGCCCAAGTTGGAAGAAGATATTAGACAGCTCTTTGCCACAAATACTCTCATAATCCTAATGAACAAACATTCCCAAATGTTTTACTAATTCTAACTCAATAAAAAAATTAATACCCTTTCTTTTCAATGTGATCTGGACATTCTGAAGTTCTTAATTATCTTCATAATGTGTTTTGCTTTGATTTTCTCATAAGACTATTGTAGTTGCCCTACATACAAAAGATACTAATTTAATACATTTTGAATGCTGGATCTTTTTTCCTTGACAGGTTCACGTTGAGACATGCTATAAAAGCTTGTAAGGTCTAAACACATTATGAAATTCCAATTCATTAGCTTAGAGAGGGACTTTGAACTACCCTGTGCAGTTGAATCAGACAGCCAAAAGTGTAACAGATGGATGCTATATGACCCTGGAGTCTTCTAATCTTGGTCTGAATGGAACACTCATCATACCAAAGTATTACAAAAGACCATCCATCTACTAAACTGATACCAAGAGGCCACTCATGCTATTCCCATCAGGAGAAAAGATGGTTGTCTGTCACACAAGAAACTTGTCAGCAGGGATTCCAAATAAGTGACAAAGTGTTTCAAAAACACTGCAAACCTTGCAGAAAAAGTATCTTAATAGACAGCATCTCTAGAACTACTGTGATCTTGTGTAATTTCTACTTTGGACAACCTGGAATATTACAGCAAATACAAACATGGTGGTAAGCAATGATCTTTCAGCATCCTCTTGAATAAAAGTGCTGTTCTACCCACTACTGCAGGCAAAAGAGCAATTCAGAAGCCCTAGGTTTAAGATATGCCAGAAGACTGCTGATCATTTGGCTTCACAAACATATCATTCACCTAATATTCCATCTGCTTTCTGCCTTTCTGGCAATCCTTCAAATTGCCTCCATGCCTTTCCCCATACAACACCTGTCTCCAGTCCTGCTTATGAGAAATTTTCTTTCAGTTCCACTTTAAAGTTTCCTCTCACCATGCTTGTTTGCCAAGCTGACTATAATGAAAATGTTTTATTTCTGTGATCATCCTCTTTGTTATGCCACCCCCCTGAACTATTTGTTTGGATTTCTTAGAGTGGCATGATCTGTGAGGTCAGTGACTGTTCCTTTTATTTGTTCTTGGAAAACATTTATTGAGTTATGGATACCACTTCAAACAAGTTAATGTTATTGTTGTTAATAGTAACAACAACAACAACTGTACATGCTTTATTACTATTCATCAGATTGTGAGTAGACCGTTCCATGCTAATATTAAATAAGAGAACTGGAAAATAACAGAAAAAAAGGTTTATTGATCTAGGTAGCGTTAAATGCCTTGTATCAGGGGTAATAAAAGAAAACAGGAATGGTTAATCTCAGTGCACTAGCTCATGCATCCACATATGGCAGCACTTTTCTCACCAGATCAAGGAAGGCCGGCATGGCTTGTCACCCAGCGGATTGCATGGCACCATTGCAACAACAGGGAGAAAAGGAAAATGAAGATGCATTATCTTAGCCAAGAGATATTTCTAACTATTACATGGAAGTGAATCTATGGGGAAGTGAAAGGATTCATGTACATTTTCCCTGCTTTTGCCCATATTTCCTCAATCATGAGTCAAGACAGCTGAAACCCTGTAGTGATGCTCTGCTCTTTCCCACGAAGTCAGTGAGAAGACTTGTGGAGTAGGAGCTAAGTAACAGACTCAAAGGATAAAGAAAAAGAATCTGTTAATTTGAGAGGCTAAACTAGAATCTGGGAGGCATTAATGAATATAAGAAAAAATTGCAAGCATGCACCCACACTCAGACACCGCCTAAGCCTGAAGGTATCTTTCTATTCACTGAAAAGTTCATAAGTACCTGCTCACACAGGAACTTCAGTTTTAATTATGCTGACTGTGGACATAAAGTTGGAGCTTAGGCATGAACAGGATCCAAGAACCAGGCCTCTGCGTGCCTAAATCCTACAAAGGATTTCTTAGCTTTCTTAAAGCTTAGTTCACACAGGTATATGAGTTGTAAAAAAAGAAAAGCAGTGTCAGCCTTATTTGATTGGGGGTTTTGGGGTTGCTTTTTTGTTTTGTTTTATTTGGGATTTTTTTGTTGTGGTTTTTTTTTTGTTTTGTTTTGTTTGGTTGGTTTTTTTTAAACACAGTACATTCAGGGAAAATTTCCAGGCCACCCTTTACATTGCAGTGAAAGAAAGGAGACAGAAAGGCGATATTGCCTAGAATGTGGAAGGTCCATTTTCAATGTATTCCTACCCAAAGGGCACTTAAAACACTTCCTGGTAGTTGTAGAACTATGTAGCAAAGGGTGCAAGATTCAGTGAGGAAACAGGAAAGAAAGGTGACCCAAAAAACGGTTCCTCTAACTTTCAGTCAGCAGAGTCTTTTACTTGACATGGCTATTAATAATTTATTAAATAGCTGTTCACTTCCAGCTGAGAACAGATGAAAATATACAAGCTCCAGTCTTAATTTCTGCTCATGCACTGTAATAATATTTAGCACTTGCACATATATTTCAAACAGCCAAACAAATGCAAATTAAGCACTTGAAAGGCCATCAGGAAAGCCCTGTTTTATTGCAGATGCTCTGGGTTGGGCTATTAATTCCCACTGATGAGCAGGTAGTTATGTGAGTCACCCCACTAAGAAGTAACTGTTCCCTAGAAGGTGAAGAGGATTCATAGTTTGTCTTATAATTGCCTTTTTGGCAGCTTCATACTCTCTACTATTCCCTTCAATAGCACATCGGTGCATCGTAAACTATTTTGTCACTTGTACCCATTTTCACATCAATTTGCACTAAATGAGTAATCTGTACTGTTACTATGTTATGCTTGAAGACAGAACATCGTATTCTGCATATTAAAAACTACTGGACTTCAGTTAAGGTCCTAACTACTCTGTAAAGGACATCAAATTAATCTCCTTTGATCCAATAGTTTCCCAGTGTTTAGCATCCAGCCTTGCAAATGAGAACAAAGTCCCTTCTGAGTAACACAGGCAACAACTGCCTGCCCAGATTTCTACTAGTCTAGGGTACAGCACTGCATGGACATCAGTGCAGTTATCAGAATGCCAAATGCAAAAATAATGACATACAAGAAATGCTTTTCTTAAATGACAACAAGTGTAAGTAACTTGTAATTTCCATAATCGAAATTCAGTTCATTGACCCCAGGGCTCAAATACTCATGAGAAATTGATTTCACTCTCTTTGCACTGAGACAATAAACAGTGTCAAGTTTGAAAATACTCTCTGCTACAAAATCAACTGACAGTTCTTTTAAAAAGCCACCAAGGGAAATGGATGAAAAAAAAGGACTCTGAAACTTTCAGGTGCAGAAATTTTATTAAGATTATCACAGCACATCTGCTGTTCCAGGCAAGGGTAAACCCATGAGAGGATATTTGTCTTATGACCAATACTTTCCCAAAAAGAGCTCTCGCAGTGGTACTTCCCCAGACTTTCCTTTTCTTGTTCTCAAAAAAGCAACTGTTGCACATAATATGCTCCATATTTATAACTCCTCCCCAAATTCATACATGCATAAAGCTTTTAAGCAGAAGGAGCATATTAATGTCTCCAAGGTTAGTCTGCTTCTCATTAGGTGCTGAAAGATAGGACAAAACCAGCAAGTAACTTTTTCACCCCCAAATATAAAGGCACACAGTACAAACATGACACAACTGTTCTCCTGCTGGAATGTTGTTTAAAAAATAAAACTGAAAAAACAATAAAAATGTTCTCATTGTTTGTATGATAAACACACAAAGACTATATAATCTTTGGTTTTATATGCTTATATTATGTCTCTAGCTACAATTGAGTTAGCTTCTTCTGGAGTAGGAATAACCAAAAAACTTGAGGAACTAAGAATGAAAATCTTGCTCTGGCCCATGGGGACTGTGATGCTGGCTTTAATAGGTGTGTACAAACTGCAACCACTCTTTACAGTTATTTGTCTTTATGATATTTTCTCATCATTCTTTTTCTCATTATTGCATATTACCCATTGAGGTCTGCAAAATAATGAAACGCATTGTTTTCTGTTATCTAAGTTTAACATTTATACAAAGTTTCTGTTGTGATAGTTTTACATATGACAAATCAAAATTGTGATACATACATTTTCACCCTCATGATGTGAGATGGACAAGAGCTACCAGAGATTAGTATCTCTGTCTGTGAGAGAAGAGATACAAAAATGTTTTACGGTGAAATTGAGGAAAAACAGGCAAACATCTGGTAGATCCTGGCTAGAAACTTTTTTTTTTTATATAAAGGAACATCGAATCAAAGGTAAATGATGGACAAAAAAATTGGATTTCATTTTGTGGACTTGGAAAAGTAAAGCTTTGCTATGTCCCGCCAAAAGCTGTGTTGGTCCCTTTTACTCTTGCATTTTGATCAGATGGTAGAAAGCTCCAATTCAAACTGACTTCTTAATGCACATGCATCTTTAAGGGTTAAAACACAATACCTCATTTGAATCTCCTAATCTCCTGACTGGCAGCTACACTAGCAAATCCAGGGATATAGATAACGTAAAGAGCAGCAATGAGCCTAAAGCATCCCCTGAATTTGTCACAATGAGACAGAGAATGAACCCAGCAATTTCTTCTCATATAGGAATGCTTCATGATAAAACGAATGTTTGCTGTTACACCACATGGCAGCTATTGGACAAATTCGTAGTGTTTATCAAAACCCATGATTTTGTTAGCTGGTTGGACAGATGAATATGAAACCACCCTATGGGTAGGAGAGCATTAATGTAGCACTACTGGTACAGCAATGCTGGTTTATTAAGTTGACTGTTTCTGGCATGGCCTTAGTTTTATGGCAAAATAGCTCTGGATACAAGTGCCTGAAAAC